GGTTATAAATGGTTCAAACAATATTAAAACGTATCCATGAGAAAATTAAAATGACATACATCTCTGTCCCTCAATATAATCTCTGTTAAAATAATTATTCATAGTTCTTAGTTTTCCAAGTGGCCAATGAATGTTTTGTTTAGAAAAGTAAAAGAAACAATTTAACTATCGATAAATTAAATAATGAGATAAATTGTAATGTATTCCTACAGTAAAACTTACAGTCATTAAGTACCGATGACATTGTACTGAAGTATTGATGTGAATATTTTTCCATGATATATGAAGTGGGAAAAAGGTACAAATTATTGCATAATGTGATTTTGTATTATATTTGATAGAAAAAAAATCTGTTGTTACATGTGTACTTACAGGATAATAATATGTGTCTAATCTGGCAATTTGAGTTTGTACTGTAATAATATTTAACTAACTAACTTGGTATATTTTTATATTGTGTATGTGGTTTTCCATTTTTGTGTTGCTGTTTTTAATGAATATGATTGATTTTTATCATTGAAAAGATTAAAGTGTACATATGTGAAATTTCATTCTCAGCCTAATGTGCGCTCTGAGATATACATACCACAGTGACCACAGGAGCCACTGCCCTCACCTTTGATCAATAGAAATAAACTTCATAGCAAAAGAATTTAATTTGACTGGGAGATCGTAAGTGTTCTTGGGTCTGATATTGTTTTGGAAGAGGGTAAACACAATGACTACTTATAGGCATTAATGATTTAAGTACACACGCTTTTTTTAATTGAAGTATAGTCAGTTACAATGTGTCAATTTCTGGTGTACAGTATAATGTCCCAGTCATGTGTGTGTGTGTATATATATATATATATATATATACACACATATATTTATTTTCATGTTCTTTTTATTAAAGATTATTACAAGATATTGAGTATGCTTCCCTGTGCTATATAGAAGAAATTTGTTTGCTATCTATTTTTATGTATAGTGATTAATATTTGCAAAGGGGAAGGGATAAATTCGGGAGTTTAAGTACACATGATTTAAATTCAAGTAAATGCAAAAATGATGGAAAGAAAGTATAACATCAAACACTATAGAGAAAAACATAAATTGAGGAAAATAAATAAATGCAAAAGAAACTAGAAAGGAAAGGGAAAAACCCAAGAATAGACAGGACAAATAGCACAAAATTATGATACTGACAGAAAAAAAAAATCAACAGTAAGTGTAGATGCTCTCAATGATCTGGTGAAAAGATAAAAATCATCACATGGGTTTTTAAAAACATTTTAAATATTATATGTTATTTACAAAAGCCATATCTAATAGATAATGATGCACAATTGTTAAAAATAAAAGATGAAAACATATATAATGCAAATAATAATCAAATTAAAGCAGTTATAGCTCTTGATTTCTGACAAAGCACACTCTAGTGCAAAATGGAGTATTTAAGGTGGGTTTCTTAATAATAATAAAATTTTCAATTCAACAGTGATCTTAACTTTCATATAACTTTTTAATATAACTTTAAAACGTAGCAAGGATGAATGATATGCATATACAGAAGGGGCAATAAACAAAACACATTCAAAGCCTGTTCTCTCGTGCTGCTTTTGACAATGTATCATTGCCCTTGGTCTTCTTCAGTTTTTGCTGTAATGTGTTTTTTTTGTGAACTTTTTTCTCTCTCTTTTATCCCAGTTAATTTTTTTTTGCTCTTTCTTTTCTTTAATTGAAGCATAGTCATTTACCCAATTAATGATAATTAGACTTAATAAATCCTTGGGTTGTTGTCTCTTTATCATTGGGTTGAAAATTCTTTGCTGTTAATTTTACAGAGAAAGCGTATCTACCATTTTTCCTCTTCACTCGTTCTGGAATGCTACCTTTAGGCATTTATCTAAGTTGCTTTATGTTTAATTTCTTTTTCATAATTTCTACTTTTTGTCTCTATATGCTATATTTTAAACAGTAGCTTCAGAAATGTCTTCCAATTCATTAATTTTCTCTTTATCTGTGTCAAACTAGTTGATAAACCTATCCAATATTTTATCTTGTTTTATTAGAAATTCTATTTAATACTTTTTCAAATCTACTTGGTCAATTTAAGAATTTCTTATCCTTTAAACACATTGTCCAATTTGTCCTTTCAACATGGTAAATATAGTTAATTTATATAATGTGTCTGATTATTGCAGTAATAGTTTTGTGAATATCTTCTTTTGTCATTTTTATTCCTTCTGGTTCTTTCTAAGGTGACTTGTTTACTTTTATGCTTAGTTTTTTAATTTGTTTGTTTATGACCCTCAGCTTTTCAGCTTCGTCACTAATTTATTTGTGAGAATTATTTAACCTGGAATGAAATAGTTGCTCTAGAGAATATTTACATTTTCTTTTGCTAAGTGACAAAGAAACACTAGTTTTGGACACATTTAAAATAAAATCTTGTGGGAGTCATGTCATCAAGATGGCAACATACATCATTTCTGACTCTGGTCACCATCAAAGAAGACAGCTAGCAACTATCCATAGACAAGACACACTGTGAAAATCCTAGAACACAAGAGTGAAGGAGAAGCACAAGATACAAGAGGCACCAGACTTGGAAAGCAAGAAGTAAAATTGTGTCTATTTGCAGAAGATATGATTTTATATATAGAAAATCCTAAAGACTTCACCAAAAACCTGTTAGAACTAATCAATGAATTTAGTAAAGTTGCAGGATACAAAACTGACATACAGGAATCAGTAGTATTCCTATACACTAACAACAAAAGATCTGTAAAATTAATAAAAACAACAATCCTAGTTACAATAGCATCAAAAACAATAAAATAATTAGACATAATTTTAATCAAAGAGGTGAAAACTCTTTACTCTGAAAACTATAAGGCATTGATGAAATAAATTGAAAGAGGTACAAATAAATGAAAAGTTAGCTTGTGTTCACGGATAGGAAAAATTAATATTGTTCAATTGTCCATACTACACAAAGCCATACTTGCTGACTTGAAACTATATCTAAAAATTATAGTAATCACAACAGCATGATACTTGCATAAGAGCAGACATATAGACAAATGGAATAGAATTGAGAGCCAAGAAGTACACCTTTGCATATATGACCAATTAATTTTTGATAAGGAAGACAAGAATTCTCAATGGAGAAATGACAGACTTTTCAATAAACTGTGCTTGGAAAACTGGATATGCACATGCAAAAGAATGAAAGTAACCCTTTATCTTAACTATTCACAGATATTAAATCAAAATGGGTTAAAAACTTAAATGTAAGACCTGAAATCATAAAACTCCTTCTCTACATGAATCTTGAAAAAGATTTTTTTGACATAACACCAAAAGCACAAGCAATAAGAGCAAAAATAAGTAAGTGGAGTTACATCAAACCAAAAGCTTCTGTATAGCAAAAGAAATGATTAACAAAATGAAAAGCTAACCTACTGAATGGGAAAAGATATTTACAAAACACATTAATATGAGGTTGATATCCAAAATCTATAAGGAACTCATACAACATAATAGCAAAAAAAAAAAAAGGAACCACACACACAAGTAATTCAATTTTCAATTAAATAATGGGCAAAGGTTCTGAATAGATATTTTCTCAAAGAAGATATTCAGATGGTCAACAGATACATGAATATGTGCTCAACATCACTAATTATTAGGGAAATGCAAATCAAAACCACAGTGAGATATCACCTCATACCTGTCAGGATGGCTATAATCGAAAAGAAGAAAGACAACAAATGGCAAGAATGTGGAGAAAGGGGACCCTGTGCATTGTTGTTGGAAATTTAAATTGGTACAGCCACTATGGGAAACATTATAGAGGTTCCTCAGAAAGTTAAAAATAAAACTCCCACATGATTCAGAAATTCCACTTCTGGGTTTATATCTGAAGTAAATAAAATCACTATCCTAAAGAGATATCCACACTGCACCCCCATGTCCATTGCAGCATTATTGTATCATGGCTAAGACATGAAACAACCTAAGTTTCCATTGATGAATGAATGGATAAAGAAAATGTGATACACACACAGACACACACACACACGAATACTATTCAGCCATAAAAAAGGAAATAATGTCAATTGTGGTAATGTGAA